CGACCTACAAATTCAAAAAGAACTTTTTGAATTTGTAGGTCTGATGAATTGATCGTATTTACGATTCCAATGAAATAAATCATGACCATGGAATATTAATGTTTAAATTTTATATATATATATATATATATATATATATATATATATATATATATATATATATATATATATATACCATGATTGCTCAAGATGTACCGGAACTGTTAAGTAGGCAGAGTGAAGTATTATTATAGAGCATACAACAAATATATGCACAGATGTAAAGAACTACAGTGAAATCCTATTCAATTTAAAGAAACTTGGACAACGACTTTCCGGTTAATCTATTTTAACCACAAAGGATCTTCAGGCTTTTTTTTATCTTGTGGAACACGTTTTTCTAATACTATGAGATCAGTTTTTGTATGGGAGTATGGCCAGTACTTCAGGGAAATGAACATGTTCACTTGGCTTCTTGCTCAAAAATAATCGTAGTATCATTATTCCATCGACAACCTAGATTTTCTTTTTCCCCTTTAAGTGTTAAAAATGAATATAACGACATTGAACGTCTTCCATTTTCTAATCAATGCTAGAACATCTCAGTTCGTTTGGATATACCTTTTCGAAAGGAAGAACCTTTGCTCATTTATCCATCTTTTACCGTAGGGAGTAACAGACGTGATGGCCTGAAAATACATTGCGGTGAAAATAGATTAGTCGGTAAACCCATATTTAACTGTCTTTCAATTGAATTTGCGTACGGACACACACACACACAGATATAAATACGTATATATGTATCTATATATATTTTTGAGATGAGGTAATATGTACATTATTTGGACTATTGTCCTCATCTTTGTCGCTGTATGTATTACAACGTTTCGGCCGTTATACGCTCCGGCCTTCTTCAGGTGGTTGGAATGTCGAACTGAACCTTTTATTTCGCTAATATAAATAATGTATATATGCATGCATATATATATATATATATATATATATATATATATATATATATATAGAGAGAGAGAGAGAGAGAGATAGATAGATAGATAGATAGATAGATAGATAGATATAAAATAATTTCGTCTACTTACTTTTTAATATTCATTTTATTCTGAGTATTATTTCGCTAATATAAATAATGTATATATGTATGCATGCATATATATATATATATATATATATATATATATATATATATAGAGAGAGAGAGAGATAGATAGATAGATAGATAGATAGATAGATAGATAGATATAAAATAATTTAGTCTACTTACTTTTAATATTCATTTTATTCTGAGTATTTTCGACTTTAATAAGGCGACTAAGAAATTTTAATTACGAAAGGATCCTATTAAAATAAGTAGACAAAATTTGTCTAAATTATTGAATGACACATGTCTTACTGAAATATATATATATATATATATATATATATATATATATATATATATATATATATATATATATAAATGCATGTTTCATTAAATACTATGGACAAGTTTTGCCTATTTTAAGCAAATTCCTTTCATATCATCTGATAAGCTTAATAACATTACCATTGAACGACGAAAACAAATCCCAATATTGATACATGTTTTTTAATCCTATCTACCTATCTAAACATTCGGCTTACATAAGCCATCATCAGAGATGACAATTATATATATATATATATATATATATATATATATATATATGTATCAATGTATCTATGTATATTTAGGCAGCATATATTCATTGAAACATGTATCATTAAATAATATAGACATATATTGTCTATTGATCTTTATACTCTTACTTCCCCAATTTCTTAAAGTTAAAAATGGAATTTATCAAGGCAGTCAACGTATTTCTTTAATATCATCTTCAGCTGTAAATTACAAACACAATTTTTTTTTTGTGATTGCGATACAATTTGCATTTCATTTGATGAGGATACTTAAAAAAACACACGTTAACGCTCTCTCCTATAGATATTTTTAAATATTAATTTATTCGTAGTAGTTATAGAATTATTTGCAAAACAAATAAGAAAGGAACCTCCATCTCTAACTGTAAAGTCACATGAGAACCCCTAATATATATATATATAATATATATATATATATATATATATATATATATATATATATATATATAATATGTAAAACAGGTTTTCAAAGAAATATCTTAATATAATTTAAACCGGCAGCAATAATGACTGTTCGGTCAATGAATACTAAATGATTCCTTGTAGGGAAACGGCTAATTTTTTTTTTATGCTTTTCACCCCAAGCAAGGCGGGAGTGCCAATAGCACGTAAAGGATTACTGAGATTGGGAGCAAAAGTAAAAGTTCGTAAAAGGAGGCAAGGATGACGAGAAGGACGGAGACTAGATCAAAACATCTGGAGATTTCGATTGATATTGCATTTGAATAATTGGAAACTATAGCTATCAGAGAAGCAAGTAAGATGTAGGAAGTTCCACAGAAGGGAAGTGAGAGACATAGAGATATTGAAGTAGAAGAGATGGCTACATTTAACCGTTTCGGATAGTGAAATGGTGAGACTGAGATACCGAACTAGTGGCAGTTTGGGAACTAGCGAAAATAGCTAGTCGGAGCAGTTACCGTGAAAGTATTTGTAAAAAAGACAGATAGAGGTGACGGCTCGTCTGTGAGAGAGCGACTGTGAACGAGATGCCAGATCAGAGCCAACCACTTTGCATATCCGTCTCTGGAATATTACCATTACTGTTATTCGATGCATTCAAACAACAAACTTACACCAAGCACGTCTGAACAGGATTTTATCTACTACAGAAAACGTGTTCAAACATGTTTCTCTTTTCATTATTTACAACACTACGCTGTAGGACACCTCATCAATCAAACCTTGTTTATTTGCTTGTTTATATGCATGAATGCAAGATATGTGTGAATGTGTCGTTACACATGAAAAAAAATACAGTACATTTATATATTTATATTTATATATTTCATTCGACCTCAGGACTGGGGGATTCTTGAATGTCGATGAGCAATCGTGGTAGTGTCAGGGGAGTTAAATTCATAGTTGTCTCCTCTCTGCAGGGGTTTGCCGTTCCAAGCCGAAAGATGCCAGCTTGTCCTACAAATAAGTGAAAGAAGCGATGAACTGATACTTTTCTAGCATGTAATTTTAGCAACATCCATGGCAGAAATTTGAACAGTGGCTGCTAATTCCATTTTCAGCACTGATAACCATTAGGCCAACCGCTGATTTTGATAAAAAATACTCCCCAAAAGTTTGTAACATAGATGTGAAAACCAGTTAGATGTTTGAATGATCCTTTCTTCTCAACATTGATCAGATACGAATACAGTAGGTCTCCCAAAACATTTTAACCTGCTCCCTTTCTAGCTGAGGTGTTTTTTTTCCTTCTGTGATTCATACGACAAATGGTGTCAAGATGGCTGAATGTCATCTTTGAAAACTGGGAGAAAAGAAACTGAACTGATTTTTTTTTTTTTAGATATTAATTTTTAGATATTATATATTATTTTTAAAGATTTTGTGAGATGGATAACTATGCTGTTAAAATTTTTGCAGATACATACGGTATATATATATATATATATATATATATAGTTGGAGGGAGAAGAAGAATACCTGTACCAAAGGTATTAGCACGTAAGTGAATGTAAAGGATTCGACTGGAATTCGAACTCGGCTCACCGATTTCTCAGTATAAGTCGCTATACGTTACTCTACTGTGCCTCACTCACTCACTCACTCATTCATTCATATATCTATGTGTGTGCGTTTATATATATATATATAACAGAAAGTACAGATGGAGTAAGAAATCACAGTTCTTAGCATGTACTTTTAAAAAGTGCTCAATACAAATTAGAGAAAATATATGATATATATATATATATATATATATATATATATATATATATTCAGTTGTAAATAATAATGTAAAGATCCTTGAGAATGGCTAATAGAATAACTGAAAGGACATTTTTAATCACTTTCTGTCCAGAAAAGAAAACAAATACTTATAAGAACACAAGAAAAAAAAATGAATAAAAAGCTTAACTGCAGTAGCTTGTTACTCGTCTTTAATGAAACTTGTATGGATGAAAGTATTCTGCCTCAAAACACTATATATATATATATATATATATATATATATATATATATATATATATATATATTCCACACCTGAGTTGAAAGACAACGACCACTTTCGTCCTATGCCGAAATAGTCTATTCCCCATATGAAGTAAAGTGATCTGTTTTATTATTAATTATATTGCTCTGTCTAAATAATATACACCGAGCTCTTTTTTGTGAACCATTTCTAATATTTTCATATTATTAGGATCCATCATATAGCAGCGGACTTTTAACCTCATTACATACATACATACGTACACACACACATATATATATATATATATATATATATATATATATATTTATATATGTGTGTGTGTGTGTGTGTGTGTGTGTGTGCGTGTGTGTGTATATGTGTGTGTGTGTGTTGGTGTATATTCATGCTTTCTATTTTCTTTTTTTTTTTTTTCTTTCCTATTTTTAATTCATTCGTCTTAGTCTTTTCTGCATCTGACACGTTTTTCTTCCTTTCATTAATTCTTTCTTTTTTTCTTTTGTTTCATTTTCTTTCTTTCTTTTTTTTTTTTCTTCTTTTTTTCTTTTCATATCCTTCTTTTTTGTGGGTGGAGATCTCATTCATTGTTCTTAATCCCTTCTGCAGCTGACACATTTTTGTCTTTACATATATATATATATATATATGCAGACATTTCCTTTCTCTTTATATGCCTACAAATATTGTAATATACACTTTTATTGGAACGTGCAATGTTATAGATATACACAAATTTCATGCGTGTGTATATATGTGTGTGATATATGTAGAAAGAGAGCGAAGGTGGGACTTAGATAATGTATGCATATTTTCATCGTGGACATTATCTTAATGTTTAACTCCACGAAGCTGCAGACCCCAGGCAGCTAGAATGGCAACCTTGTACAAAATCCAGGCGCAAATTCTGATATTCTTTTCGGCCAGGACCACCGACCATCTTTGGCGATCGATATCCGCCCAGCACGCCATCGCTTCTTCCTTCGTTGTCATTCCGCCTCCTTCGCCACCACGATGTGCCTGTCCAAACATATTCGGAAGATTCCTCGCCAAACAGGATTAACTGAATCAATACACGACTGACTCTACTTACTCGTAGCAAACATCGCATCGGCGCAAGTCCCTTCATTGAACGAAACCGAATTTGACCGCCACCACCTCCTGTTTTCCTTTCTTCCAATAACTTTTCCCTCGTTATCTGTTTACTTCTTCTTTTTCTTCTTTCTCTCTTCATTCAATTTCCCACCCTTGTTGGCTTTCTGATATGTTTTTCTTTTTGAAAGTCCACATTCATTGCTGTTCATCCATTCTACAACTTACCTTTCTTTCCAAATTTGGTTTCAGATCTCATTCATTGCTCTTAATCATTATGCGTCTTAGACATTTTTCTTTCTTTTCATTTTTTTCTTTCTTTCATTTATTTGTTCTTTCTATCGTTTCTATTTTGGCTTCAGATTTTTTTTTGTTTTGCAATATCTCATTCATTGCTATCAATCCTTTTTTCAGCTGATATATTTTTAATTCTTTTTTTCATATTTTTCTTTCTTTCATTCTTTTTATTTCTGTCTTTCTTTTTATGATTTCAGATATTTTTATTTATATTAGATATATATATATAGATATTTTTTGCAATATCTCATTCATTGCTATCAATCCTTTTTTCAGCTGATATATTTTTAATTCTTTCTTTCATATTTTTCTTTCTTTCATTCTTTTTATTTCTGTCTTTCTTTTTATGATTTCAGATATTTTTATTTATATTAGATATATATATATATAGATATTTTTGCAATATCTCATTCATTGCTATCAATCCTTTTTCAGCTGATATATTTTTAATTCTTTCTTTCATATTTTTTTTCTTTCATTCTTTTTTCATTCTGTCTTTCTTTTTATTTCTGTCTTTTTTATTTTATGATATTTATAGATATTTTTATTTATATTAGATATATATATTTTTAATTCTTTATTTCATATTTTTTGCAATATCTTTTTATTTCATTCATTGCTATCAATATTTTTTATTTATTTTTTATATATGATTTTTGCAATATACATTGCTATCAATCCTTTTTTCTTTCTTTTTTCATATTTTCTTTTTTCTTTCATTCTTTTTTTTTCAGATATTTTTTATTTATTTAGATATTTTATAGATTTTTTCAAGATCTCATTCATTGCTATTCTTTTTTTATATATTTGCAATTCTTTCTCATTCATTGCTTTCACAATCTTTTTTTTCTGTCTTTCTGATATATTTTTTATTTTTTTGATATATATATAGATATTTTTTTCAATATCTCATTCATTCATTCTTTTTCATCTTTCATTTTCTTTTTTTTTCATATTTTTCTTTCATTCATTTCTTTCATTCTTTCTTTCTTTTTATGATTTCAGATCTTTCTTTTATTTGCAATATCTCATTCATTGCTCACAATCCTTTTTTCAGCTGATATATTTTTAATTTTTTTTTCATATTTTTCTTTCTTTCATTCTTTCTTTCATTCTTTCTTTCATTCTTTCTTTCATTCTTTCTTTCTTATTATTGTTTCACATCTTTCTTTTATTTGCAATATCTCATCCATTGCTCTTAATTCTCTCTGCGTCTGACATATTTTTTCTATATATCTTTTTTCTTACTATCTTTCTTTTTCTTTCTTTTTTCTTTTTTGGTTTTTTTGCAAAATCTCATTCATTGCTCTTTTCAGACATTTTTTTCAATCTTTCATTCTTTTTTTTTTTCTTTCTTTGGTTTTATCTTACATTTTCTGAGTTTATACATCTGACACATTTCTCTTTCTTTTTCTTTCTTATTTTTGTTTATTTTTTCTTTCCGTCTTTCTTTCCTATTTTAGTTTCAGATCTTTCTATTATGCATTATTTCATTCATGGATTTAATCCATTCTCCATCTGACATATTTCACTTTCTTTTTTCCTTTCTTTCACTCTTCCTTCCTTCTTTTTTTCCTATTTTGGTTTCAGAGCTTTCTTTTTGTGGGGGAAGATTTCATTCCTTGCCCTTAATCTTTTTCTGCAGCTGACATATTTTTCTTTCTTTTTTTTCATTCCCATTTTTCTTCTTTTCTTTCATTCATTCTTTCTTTCCTATTTTGGTTTCAGAGCTTTATCCTTTTTGCATGGTCTCATTCATTGGTCTTAATCCTTTCCTCATGTGATATTTTTTTCTTTCTTTTTTTCATTTTTATTCTTTCTTTCTTTTTTTATTCTTTCTTTCTTTCCTGTTTTGGATTCAGAGTTTCCTTTTATTTGCAATATCTCATTCATTGCTTTAAATCCTCTCAGCGCCTTACACATTTTTCTCTTTTTCTTTGTTCTTAATATCTTTCTTTCATTCCTTATTTCTTTTCTGTGTTGGTTTCAAATCTTTCTTCTTTTTGTAAGATATCATTCATTTTTTCTTTATTCTTTCTTCGTCTGACACATTTATATTTTCTTTGTTTTTTCCTTCTGTTTTATCCTCCGATTTGTTCCTAGTGTTTCATATGCATTTTAAATTTTCTTTATGTCTTTCTCTTTTATTTATATTATTCTATTTGTCCTTTTAAGGTTATTCCCATTTTCTTTTAACGTTATTTCTTCAAATATCTTATTTATTTCTCTTTCTTCGTTTCTGTTTTCGTCTAATTTCTTCTTTTGCTTTAAAATAATGTTCCTCGCTTTTTCTTACTTTTCATTCAATATATTTATCTTAATCTCCGTCTGCTTCCTACTTTTTATTCATTCCTTCAATTTTCTTCCTAGTTTTAATGTTTGGTGTTATTTCCTCGCCTGAGATATAATTGATTTCTTTTTCTTTCTTTCTTTCTTTCTTTCTTTCTTTCAGTATTTAATTCAAAATCCCGTTAATCTCTTTCTGTTTCGATCATTTTCTTCTTTTTTGTTGTTGCCTTTCTTTATCCGATTGATTTTCTTTCTTTGTTCACACGTTTATATCTTTTGGGCAATTTTTTTCTTTCTTTCCTACATGAATGTTTTTTTCCTTTCTTTTTACGACTCTATTGATTATCTACTTTTTATTCCTCGAATCATTCCCCCCCCCATTCTTTGACTCTTTAATCTTCTTTCTTTCTTTCTTTCGTTCGTTCGCTTTATTTTTCTATTCAATTTTCGTTCTTTATATTAAGCGTTGCTACTTTTTCCAGTATCTTCTTTCTTTCTTTCTTTCTTTCTTTCTTTCTTTCTTTCTTTCTTCTTCTTCTTCTTCTTCTTCTTCTTCTTCTTCTTCTTCTTCTTCTTCTAACTAAATGACTTTACGTCACTCTTTATCATTTCTTTAATCGAATTTTCTTGCAAATATTTAATTTATTCATTTCGGTTTCTTTTTCATTTCATTCATTCATTTTTATTCTCTCATTCTTAATAAGAGCTGCCTACTCTGGCACAAGGCCACAATTGTGGAGCACCCAGTTAAGATCAAAATCACTACTGTTATAACAGATCACTACTGTTAGCCTATGGACCACTACAACATGACATGACGCCGTGTCTGTTGTTATTTACGATGAATATCACTATTATGATTATGAACATAGTCTGACACAAGACCAATATTTTTGTCAACTGGTTAACATTGAGCTCTACATAGTAATGTCTTCAAAATTATCATTTATGGGTCAACTAAACGAGGAGAGGTTTCTTTTTCTTATCTAATAGAGCTATGAAATCATTGATAAAAAAAAACACATATACAATGGCCATCGTACACATATATTGGGTTAAAATAATCTAGTTTATTCCTCCAAAACCTATCCACAGTAAGGCGTTTATTTCCTAATATTTATGTTCTATTTTGGTTATATTTTCTTGATATATGAACGCGTCAGGAAAAAATTATCGTAGTCGACGCGTTTCTTCCTCTGACGGACCTTTATCGTGGCAAATATAATAAATGTATTTTGCAACAAATATTTAGGAACAGAAGTAAAAATGTTGTAATTTTTTATAAATTTTCAAATTTAAGAGACGCTTATGAATATTCATTAGACTAACTGAAAATATCTAGGTTTATCATAAAGGGTGCTAAATGACATAATTTAATGTCTAAGAAACGAATGTGTGTGTATACATACACACACATATATAAGGATATATATATATATATATATATATATATATATATATATATATATATATATATATATAAAATGAAATCGAAATGTTTTTGTTGTTATAGTTACATTAAAAAATCCAAATTTAAAAAGATAGACGCTTGTGTCTAAGCCTTTTTTTCTGGTTAATGTAAATTACCTCTATAGTAAGCGATTTTTTTTCATGTCGACAATTTCTTACTTTTGTTCCTTTTGTTCCTTTTCTCGTGAAAAGCAGGACTGCCCTTTGTCTTTCTTTCTTGCTCTTTTTTCCTGTTCTCATAAAAAGAGGTTGTATCTTGTTTTAAATTTTCAATACATTATCCACTCACCAGTTATTTATTAACGCCTGACGAGTTGAGTTTATACGTATCGAAACATGAGTGCAATTCTGTAACGTTTTTACATGTTTTTATAGACCTTTCCAATCAAACATGACCCAGTGCACACGTTAGTATTTATAGACCTTTATATTGGCTTGGAATAGACGTAATTCTTTTGGAAATGGAGATATTTGAAAAGATCTGGGTCAGAGATTTAAAAATAAAACATACAAAAGTAATTTAAATATAAATTACACAAAAATAAAATCAACAGCATTTATTCCCTCACGTTTATTAGGTCGTGTTATCTACTGAAGTACGATGTCCATGAAACACTGCTTCATCATCGAAGCAATTGTAACACTGACTGACAGAATTTGCACAAGAATGCCAGTTTAGAACACTCAAAAAATGTCAGGCATTATACGATCTGGGATACATCTATCAATCTGGGATACATCTATCAATCTGGGATACATCTATCAATCTGGGATACATCTATCAATCTGGGATACATCTATCAATCTGAAATAAAAAAAAGAAAGAAAAAAATTAGCAACGTAACTGTAACAATTTAGGAATCGCAATATGCTAATGAGGAGATATTAACAAAAGTTATAAGTAATTTTGAATAGCGAGATCTATTCCTCTGCAAATGACGAGTCTAAAATATAAATAAATAAATATGAAAACGCTAGGGCAATAGTAGTTTCGCACTAATAATCTTGTGAATAGCAATAATCATCTAGAATTAGAATTAAGTAATGATATATATATATATATTTAAATTCAAACTCAGCGTTGCTTTGGCGCGTTCAAAAACCAATAACTCATTTTCAATAGCATTTCGGATACAATAACACATATATTTTCGATGTCCTCTTATTACTAAGAGAAAAAAAACAAGAACAACATCTATTATATACCTGAAGATGTCTGTAGGAACAGACGAAAGCTTGTAGTAAAATAACAACTAATACGGCAGAAATTTATATAAACAGGGATCAATTCATTCATAACGGATCTGGAGGTTTTTGTGTACTATTTGAATTGTTTGCGATGATGGATGTCTCGCCATTTAAACCATTAACCTTTGCATTAGTTTTGTGTGAATAATTCATGTATATATATATATATATATATATATATATATATATGCCCGGAGTTATATTTTACGATTTCATTTTGAATTTGTAGGTCTGATGCAAGTAAGATTCCAATGTAATAAATTATAACCATGGAATATTAGTGTTTGAGCCTTTTATATTATATTCTTCATCTCCCGGACATTGAGTTCTAACTGGATTCTATCCTCTTGGGAATTTATATATATATATATATATATATATATATATATATATATATATATATATATATAATATATATATATATATATATATATATATATATATATATATATTGAAATATAAATATATGCAGTACTTATTAGAAAGCGCACAATATCAGAGCGCAAAAGCGTGAAAACCAGGGTTACACACTCTCATCAATCCAATATATATATATATATATATATATATATATATATATATATATATATATATATATATATATATATATTGACCACTAATATTATTGTTCCATCATGTTAATAAATTAAAAATATTGCATTGATAAATACAGCCAATGAATGCTGAATATTTACTTATAAGCAATCAGCTGATATTACCATAAAAATTACAATTCTTCATCGTTCTGGTATGACGAAATACTACATCTGGCAGAAAAGACTCTGATCAGAATACTGGAAGTTTTGACGAGCATGGAACCACCTCTTAATTGCTGTTTTTTCCTGGTCCACCCTGACCCGGAGTTATAGCACCTGTTAAGATCTCAGTTGGGGGCAAATACTGAATCCACAACCAAACTTCAACGATAATTTTTTATAGTCTTATGACCAACAATACATTTGATAGCAAAATGCCAATCACATAAACAATAAAATATCTAAAAATACTTTTTTATAGTAAAATTACCAGTAATATATTTTATGATCTACAAACTATATATCTACAAAAAAGAACATTCCTTTAAGCTGAAAGTATAAAATTATTTACAAAATATCTATCGTTGAGGGCATTAAATTACGGACAAATTTACGTACGTATTTAGATTCCGGTATTAAATAACACGTAGATGTTGATATGCCACTAAACAAAATCAATCAACCAATCATATCTATTGATAGTAAAATTACCAATAATACATATTTATAATAAAATGGCAAATAATACATAATTAAAATGTAATGACCAACCATACATATTATCTGTAGTTGAAAGCATACAGTTGCGTTCAAAATACACCCGTGTGTAAATTAATATAGTAAGTACGGTAAGTTTTAGACCCACTGGAGTAACAGGGTGTAATCGTTGTCTATTCTTTCCTCAGACTAGGTTATTTTCAGTGGTGTGCAGTAATACAAATCTGGGGTGTATGATGAAATTTGTTTGGCTTTGAAATATATTGCATCACCCGTGATTGTATCAAATTATTATGACGCCCAGACACTATTGTCTCGACTGTCGATTAGTTTTCCTAAGGCTAGTGTCTGCGATGGACGTTACTCCAAGAGAGCGTACGAAAATTGTAACGTTGCACGAAGACACTGGCAAGCGTTACAAATGAGCAAATCGAAGTACTATAGACTGACTCGGAAAATCTCATGATTTAAATCCAATCGAGAATCTGTGGTCAATCTGCAAAGAACAACTTCGTCGAATGGACATAAGAAGTACTAACACTGCACTGGGTCATGTTTGATTGGAAAAATACGAAATAAAGTAAATATAAACGGAATTATTCGTTTTATTTCAATTAATTTGTACAAAGGTAAATGTAGTTGGAACCATAAAATTGTGTTCATATTATTTCGATTTCGGCATTAAATAACACATAAAGGCAAGATCAACCAATCAACCATTATTTTACCAAAACGTGCATTATTTCCCGCCGATTAGCAGTAATATTCTTTCTCATTGACATTTTCATATTATTGTAAAATTATTAACAAAGCCTTTACATAATACATATAATAGCACTATTCTTTTAGTGACACTCGTATTAATTACCGCCCGTAAAAAATTACTTTCTTCCGGATTTTAATGTATTTCTATAGTAAAATCATTAATAAATTAGCTGATTAACGAAGAAAACGCATTTTTTGCATGCATTTCCTATTTTCAACAGAAAATTCTTCCTTTTAAGACAAATATTTATTATTAATCACTTCAAGATCTATATTCAACTGAGGTATCAGGCGACGGCTGTTTTGATCAAACCTTCTAAATATACAACTACGCATGAAATATCAACGTCTATGCATTGATGTAAAAGGGAGCTATAGTGATGACAAAGGTATTCATAGTTAAGAATGATCTAGAAAAAGAAAAACATCATCCCTGTAGCATAGGGTCCAAACAATAGTTGCCAAAATACATTTTCCAACAGGAAATTGTAATCTGGGATGAAAACAATGATGGCGCATAACCGGAGACGTTATATAACATTTGTATGGGGAATTATTAAATAGTATACCCTTCGGATATCTCTGTATTAGTTACGGATAATTTAGCATGGGAGATATTTAAATTGTACATAGGTGTAATATATCAAACATTACAAGATGCCAAAAACCCAAAACATTGATGTAAGAACTTCAGTCATGTGTTCAAGTTGCTCCTTGAGATCTAAACTCTCATGTGTGTGTCATGCATAGCATCAAACTCGTTCAGAAATGCGAAAATTATGAAGCTACATACAACTATTTTTCTCAGTACAATAATTAAAAATCACTTCAAGCGAATCATTCCAGCA